CCTAGAACAGCAAAAGCAAACTTGGGCAACAAGAGCAAGGCAGTAGACATTACAACCCCCAAGTTCAAGTTATACTACAAAGCTGTCATGATCAAAGCAGCATGACAGCGGAGGGGGACCAATGAAACAGAATAAAGAATGCAGAAATAACTTTGAGCACTTTTACCTGTCTAATCTTGAAAATAAAGGGGGCCAAAAATATGCTGGAAGAAAAACAGTCTTTTTAGCAAATGATTCTGGGAAAACTGGCTATCTACACGCAGAGGACTGAATCCAGACCCACGTCTCTCACCATGTTCTATACTAAAATCAAAACGGATCAAAGATCTAAATATTAAAACAGAAATGATCTGCTGGAAGATCAAATAGGTAAAACTCTTGAAGATATAGGCATAGGCAAGGACTTTCTGAACAGAAAGCCAACTGTATCAGAACTAACACCAAGAATCAACAAATGGGGTTATATCAAATTAAAAAGCTTCTGCATAGCAAAGGAAACAACCAACAGAGTCAACAGACAACGTGCAGAATGGGAAAAAACTTGTCAACTATTCTTTTGACAGAGGACTAATATCTAGAATACAAAAAGGACTTAAAAAATTAGACCCCCTTCAAAATAAAACATCCACTCGAAAAATGGGCAATCAAAATGATATTTCTCAGAAGAAAATATACAAATGGCCAGTAAAATACACGAAAAAGAGTCGGGCATGGTGGCGCACATCTGTAATTTTAATTTAAAAAGAGTCGGGCATGGTGGTGCACTGAGGTAGCAGGACTGCCACGAATTTGATGCCAGCCTGGGCTACATAGTGAGTTCAAGACCAGCCTTGACTAACAGTGAGAGCTGTCCCCCAAAATTAAAAAAAAAACAACAGTAACAAAAAATCCAAAATACATGAAAAATTATTCAATATGTCTAGCCATTAGAGAAATGAAAATGAAACAACATTGAGATTCTATCTTACTCAGAAAAGAATGGCTATCATCAAGAAATCAAATGACAACAAACGTTGGTTAGGCTCAGTGGAAAAAGGAACCCTTTACATTGTTGTTAGGAATGTAAACTAGTACAACCATTATGGAAAACAGTGTGGAGAGTCCTCACAAAACAGAAATAAGAAATTCTACTTGACTACTTCCCAGATACTCTTCTCCTAGGTTTCTTCCCCAAAGAGCTAGAGACATTGTTACAGCGATGCACACATACTCATGTTTACTGCAGCAAAATTCACAACAGCTAAGTCTTGGTAGCAGCGGATATGTCCATCACCCGAAGAATGCACAAAGAAAATGTGGTATTTACACACTGGAGCACTACTCTTCCATAAAGGACAAACAAGGCACTTGTAGGAAAATACTCCTTGGAGCTGTAATTTTAAGTAAAATAAATCAAATATACACGCTTCAATAGCACATGGTTTCTGTTATATCAGAAATCCAAAACATAAAGAACAAAATAAAGACACTAGGAAATAGTGATAGAGCTTTTGCACATAGGAAGAGGAGCGGGGCTGGGGGGTGGGGCAGCTGGGAAAGAGAAGGGATTTTTTTTTTTTTTGGAAAGGGATTAAAAAAAGGAATTAAGATGTGCTGTGTACACGTACCAATTCCCCCTGAGGAATGTGGTCACTGTGTACTACCAACGTGTACTAATAAAAAATAAATTCATAAAAAAAGATGTTCAATGTGAAATTTATATGGGAAAAATAAAGAAAGCCAGAAACTTAATGAACTAAAATGGCTAATAATACTGCCTCAGGGATCACCATAAAGGGGTTAAATTTACCTAAGAGATTTCCAGAGACAGACAGACACACACACACACACACACACACACACACACACACACACACGGCAATATGCTGTTTACAAGCCACCCATATAAAGTTAAGGGACAAAGAAAAAAGTTGTCAACTTCGAAACAAAAAGCACCAAAGTACCAAAGGTATCTTACAGCAATGAGAAAATGCCACTCCTGAAGCTTTTTGTACTAAGTAAATAACCAAAACTTAAAAAATAGCTGTTAAGACCATTTCATGTCCTTTTCTTAGAAACAGGCAGACAATACAGACCAAAGGGGGGAGCGTAGGCTACAAAGAAAACCAGTGGATTTGAATAATTTAGAAGACTAGCTTCCAACAGAGTATAGAAAACTTTATACCTACCTAATAATATGCATTTCTGAATTTCAAATGTTGGCAGAACATTTACTATTGTCCCTTCCCCCAAATGTGAAATCTAAAGTTCATCTAGAAAAGCAAATATGCAAACAGACATGGCAGTCTGTGTCCACAGTCTCAGCTACTTGGGAGGATAAGGCAGGAGAATTCTGGAGCCTGGGAGTCTTTGAGTCTTGGAACAGCAGAGAGAGACTCTGCCTCTCAAACTTGGAAAGAAAAAAGGAAGAGAGAAGGAGAGGATTGGGAGGAGCAGGAAGAGGAGGGGGGAAAGACTTTAATAATACAGGGCCAAACCTGGTAGCACACACCTGCACTCAGGAGGCTGAGGCATGAGGATCACTACGACTTTGAAGCCAGTCTGCGCTACACAGTGAGTTCAAAGTCAGCCGGAACTATGTAACAAAAAATAGAAACTGCAAAAACCTTAAGTGTTTTTTAAGGAAAAAATTACATATGGCCGCTAGTGTTCATACGATAGAGACTGATGGGACTGTCCGGTCTTGTGCTAACATGGTAACCACAACTCAGCTGTGGGCATGGAGCCCCTGCAATGTGGACAGTTTGAACAGATATGCCAGCACCGTGAAGTGTATGTGCTTCATTCCAAAACAAGAGAAATCTTGTACACCCATTTTTTATGTCCATGAAGAATTAGGTTAACTACTGCTAAAACTCCCCCTCCTCCCCCGACAGCGCTGGGTTGAAACCAGGGCTTCACACACGCTAGGCAAGCCCTCTACCACTGAGCCGCAGCTCCGGTTGTCATTTTACTTTCTTGCTGTGGTTCCTGGGAAACTCAATCAAATACATGGCTCACACTGTGTCTCTACTGGACAGTGCTTTGTCTAGAAACAGATCCAGGTTTTCTTTTCTGTCCATTGCCTTTATGACATTTGCAGTGAAGACCTAGCTTTCCTTCTAAATCATCACAGATTAAAAACATTCGCCCTTTGGCCCAGGTGCTGCCAGCTTCTTCTGGCTTTACTCCTACGTTACTTAAATTTTAACCTTTCCCATCAGCAAAATCACTGATCTCTCTCGTCACGGTGTTTGCTTCCACTTAAGCTTGGTAACATTTCCCCAGGCTGACCACTGAGCACCACGTCTCCTGGGGGACACAGATGGAGACCACATGAATCCACGCTGCGTCAGAGTGGTGGGGAAGGGCATCTGCCAGAAAGCCAACCCTTATCTGAGCATCACACACCCTACACCCAGCCACCTCTGAAAAAGGTGCACGAGGCTTTGGGGGAGAGCCGGAGACAAGCCCTAACAGCCTGCGATGGTGAGAAGTGACATCTGCCCTCCTCTGATGGATGTTGATCCTAGCTGTGGCACAACCAAGGCTGTACGAGGTCACCTCCACGAGGACCAGGCCTTCTTCCCACCCCTCCCACAACCCCTAGGACAAACAGCTGCGCGACAGCCCCAGCTCCCACATCCAGCCTTCCGCCTCTCTTGGCCACAGGACGAGCCACCAAACCTCTCCAGCATGGGCTTCTTCCGAGTTTCCAACTGACAATGAAATCTCCGGGGAGTCCATAGGTCATTCAAAAAAGGTATCTAAATATATTTGCCTGGATCTCCGTGACAGCAACAAAATTTCCCCAAAATCCATTTTTTTACCACCACAAAATTAATCAGAGGCCCACCACGATGGGAGAAGCATTTCTGCTCTTCACCGCCCTCTTTTCCCCCCACTTCCAAACCATGTTTCCTGTGGCCACCCTGAAAGAGTATCGCAGGACCAAGGACCGCAGCCACCGCCACCAGCACCCGCCTCCCATCTCACGGCACCCTCCGGCCTAGAGAGCCCTTCGATCTCCTCAGGACTGCCTGGGCTTCGGTTTCTAGCCCTCACCTCCTACACACTCCAAACTGCCCGAGACAAAGGCCAATCTGCATGCCAAGTTTTGCTAGCTCTCTCACTACCCTGGACTGTGTCAGTGCCACACAGCTTGCCGAAGTCGCACCCGATTACCACTCGGCCAGGACCAACAGCAGGTAAGACTGCAGGAGAGCTCCCTGGGCACCCGGCTCCATGTACACAGGACACTGCTCACTTAACTGTCTTAATGCACTGGGACTACTCTGTGACCCTACAGATGAGGGAAACTGAGGCTTTGAGCCTCTTATTAACCACACAGGCAAGAACCAAAGCCTGAGGGAAGACAGGTCACCTCAGTCAAGGTGACGACCCCAGCTAGGAAGAACCAGAGGGCCAGACTAGTCCTGCTGGGTGGGGCCTGGAGACACCAGGAGGGGTGTGTGAGGTACTCGGCACCAGAGAGACCCCACAGGAAGACCCCTCTGCATGTGGACCCTAAGGCAGCCTGAGTCTGGGGCTGAGCCACCCCTCTGTCCCCGGAGGCCGGTAGGTCCAAAGGCAGGGAGGGGCTGCCATTCGGGGGCCATGTGATCAAGGCTTAGGGTCTGTGCCTGTCACTTCAGTGCAAGCATTTGTACAAGTTCTCACCACTTCGGGGGCCAGTGAGCTCACAAGTCTGTCCATGTGCAACCAAAGACTCTGCAACAAGTTCTGGAAACCAGTGCATTCAGTACGAGCTCAAGCTATTAAGACAGCCGGTGGGAGAAGCTATAGGCCGCCTGGCTGCCACCTGGTGGGGTACAGAGAAGGAACAAGGCCAGACAAATACAGGGCCAAAGTGTCTTCAAAGTAACAGGGATCTCCTTTTGATGCGGCCCTGTGAGGCACCTAGTTGGACCCTCTGGTCTACCACACCCCCACCCTCCTCACTCCCCAACCCCGCCCGACCTTTTTCACCACTAGGGGAAAAAAGTGGACTGACTCAAAGCTATAGTTTATACAGTTTCAGATTTATATAAGTTCAAGTTACTTAAATTATTCCTAAATTGCACAATGCTGGAGCCAGTCTAAAAAGAAAAGAATCAAACACACCATTCCAAGTTAATTCAATGAGTTACTTTTTTTTTTTTTTTTTAAACAAATGTGTACAGCAAAACTCCCCAGATGACGGCTTACCCCATCTGGTCACCCTGTCTGGTGCACAGGAAGCTCCTTCCCCAGCAGCAGGAGCCGGGGTGCGCAGGAGCACTCGACAGGACTCACTTCTCACAGGTGAAGTATGTGGAAAACCCTTGAGTTCCCTTTGTTCTCCAGTGTTTCTTGTACAAAATATTACATTTTTTAAACATATATTTACAGTTTGCACAAGTAGAAAATGGTTAGAAATTACAACCAGGCTTGGCAAGATCACTGTTCCCCCAGCCACTGACCGGGGTCGGAGGTGTGACAATCACTTCATATTTACATCTGCATTAAAAAGAGTCTGGGTTCCCAGAGGCCTCGAGGAAGGGCATAAAACTGCTTGAATGCCATCAAACCATTTATGCGAGCCGTAAGGGAATCGATGCCAAGTGATCAGTTCATGGCTGCGCCTCGAAGAAAGACTGAAGTGGGAGAAGCTCCTCAAGCGCACCACACACGTGGGCCTGCCTGCGGCAGCCCGGAGGTGCCAGCAGCGGCAGAGAGGGTGCTCGGAAGAGAGGGGAATGGAGTGGAGGGGATGAGGGCAACCTGGGAGAGACTCAGAGCACAGCGAAGCCACGTGGCTCTTGGAAAAGCACCCTACGGCTTCGGAAAGAACTCACAGTTGAGTCCCTTTTCTTCAGAAAGGAATCATGTTCTTGAATGGTATACAGAATAGGGAGGAGGGCCCGAGAGGATGACACTGGTTATTCTCAGCTGGCAGCTTTGCCTTGAGTCCCACACCCAGGCTCAACAGTGCAAGAAAGACTGAAGCAGCAGCGCCGGCCAGGGTCAGAGGCTCGAGTAGTAGCTGTCTACCCACTGTGCAAGGCCTCGCTCCACCAGCGACCGGTTTATCAACACCACCTAGAAAACAAAGCTGTCTTGAGAGCTCTGCCCATGGCACCTTGGGGCCATCCCTCAACCACCCCTCGAGCCAGCAAGAATTCTCCCTCCCAAGTCCCCGGTCATCTGCCAGGGGACAGGTGTATGTAAGGAGTGTGACACTAACAAGGGTTCTTCTATAAATGCTGCTGTCCCTATGACATGAGGGGAGACCCTGCAATATGCTTTGGTATTGAAACTAAGCTTGATACTATGAGGCGGACAGGAAAACCCAGCCGCTGAAGCCTTCAGTTCTGGAGCAGGGTTTCCCACCTCAGCACCCACGGCACGTTGGGCTGGACAGTTCTGCACTGGGAGGGGCTGCCCTGGCACCTCAGGGTGCTTGGCAGCACCCCCAGCCCCTAGGACTAGATGACACTAGCATGACTGCCCCCAAGATGTGACCCCCCCCCCCGCCCCCGAAGTATCCCCTGGGTGGTACTGGTTTCTAGCTACTTCCTGGCTAATCAGGAAGAAACTTTGTCAGAACCAGTTCTCAATGAACCCATGACCTCCACGGGCAGCTCTGAGGCACAGAAGAGCAGAACTTACTTCATCTCCAACCACACTCCACAGCTGAATCAGAGGGAGGCCCGTTGGACTGTAACTTGTCACCTAAAGGGAGGGGAGAGAATGCTATCAAGCAACTCCTTGTATATCCTTTAAGGCCTGCTGGCCCCCTCAAAGAGGGAAGGAGGAAGGAACTTCAAGGTCAGGTCCCAAGAAGCCTGTACACTTCACTGAGGAGGGCAGAAGCTCCCTCCCCTGCCCATCCCCCTCCACACACCTGGGCGAGCAGCGCTGTATTTCCTGTCATCTCACTCATAGCCGCGTCTGCTTCAGGTGAAAAGTGGTCATCATCTTCACAGGAGGAGGAAAAGTGACATTCAGATGCTGAGCAAGCAAGGCATTCTTGTCACCTACACAACTGTCAGTGCATCCAAAGCAGGACACTTCAGAGGCTGCTGAGACCTGCACTCGCAGGGCTTGGCCTCTGTGACTCAGGTGGATAAACACAGGGTCCCTCCTGCACGCTAACCCCAAGGATGGAAGACAATGGAAAGACACACTGCCTTCAGCGACAATGCCACCCCACCTATCTGGCAGCCAACAGTGCTGAGCACGTGTCTATTGAGCCAGACCATCAGCAACACCCTACAAGGCAGACAGATGTTAACAGTGAGCCAAGGCCGATCGTCGAAGACCCAAAGAGAAGCAGGTGGAACTCAAATCCAGGCTGTGTGGGCAGGCGGGCTATGCGGGCCAGGGGCAGCCCGAGGCAGCAGTCTGTCCCGTCGGATCAAAGAACGCGCGCTCCCAAAGCAGAAAGGGTAAGGACGGGGGAAGGCACGTCCGCAGGTGTGCGGACGTCTCAGGAAGGAGGGAGCACTTCATCGGTGCTATGGCTTGTGTCTAGATGTACCCCCAAACCTCAGGTGGTCACAGGTGGGGCTTTTCAGAAGTGGCTGGATCTAGGGTGTGTGCTGCTGACTGATTCATGGAGTGATGCAAATAAGGCTGCCCCACCCTGGGTGTGAGTGCTACCCGCCCTAAGGGTAGACAGCCTAGAAAAGGTATGAGACAAAAAGAGGGTCACTGCTTATTGCTTGTCACTTGATGCCTTCTGCCTGCCGTGAACTGCTTGTCTGCGATGCCCCTGCCTTGGAGCCAGCCAAACATGAACTGACAGGTCTATAAACTGGGAGCCAAATAAACCTCTCCTCCTTTGGGTGTCAGGTATTTTGTCTCAGCAATGAGAAAAGGTAACACAAGCGATCTAGACAGATCACTCAGCTGAACAGAAATGGAAAGGAAGGTTGGGTGACAGCAAGGGAAGAAAACAAAACGAACCTGTGGCCCAGTGTTTTGTCTGCCATGACTCCAGTGAGACTCAGGGTTAGGGAGTTTGCTTTAGGCAAGCAAGAACGAGAGCCAAAGGGGCCAGTCCAAGGAGCAAGGGTGACGCGACAGGCTGACTGTTCCCTGCAGCCTTCAGGAGCCGCTGTCTGACCATCTTTGCCACCACTTGCTGGGTTTATACAATTCTCACAGCCCCTCAAAGACCTGTACCATTCCTACTCTCCAGGGGGAAATCAGGGCTAGTGCCAGCCCTCTTCCCTCTAGCAATGCTTTCTCAGTCCCACAGTGCCCTAAGGAGCGGTGACGCTGCTTAGCTGCTGGCCCTGTACCAACCTGCCCTCTCCAGGCCTGGGCCATGCTCCGGTAGGTGCCCTGCTCGAAGGCTCTCTATGTGGGCAATCTGAATCCAGTTTAGAGCAGTGGGCCCCAAAGACGGTGCTCAGCACAGGAGCCCTGGTATTTACTGCCTGGGAACTTGCTGGCAGTGCAAGCTCTTGGGCCATAGCCCACACCTATTTAATGAGAAACTCTGACGAGAGTGGCAGGCAGCAGCCTTGTTTACAGGAAGACAAACCTACACGCAACAACCGCCACCCCCAGCAGAGGCCCCAGCTGTTACCTGACAGGGGCATCACACTGTCCAGAAGGACTTCTGCTCCCTGGAACGGCAGGGTCACAAAGTCAGACCTGGAAAGGCAGGAAATGGACACATTTAACACGGCCTTGGGGCTGAGGATCTAGCTCAGCGTCACAGCGCTTGCCTGGCAAGTGCAAGGTTGTGAGTTCGATTCCTGGTACCGGAAGAAACACAACCAAAAAAAAAACATGGCCTTGGAGGCTGGCTCCACCACCGCTGGCATCTGGACGCACCTTCGCTTAGCAGACACCCCCACAGCCCAAGACAATGCCGCGCACCTCAGCGCAGGCAGGCGGCCCTGCTGTAAGCCTGACCGCAGGATTCCGGCACTGAGCCCAGAAAGCAGTGCCCCACTGCAGATGCCTGACACTTGGCTCTGGGTGGCTGGGAGTCGCTGGATTTGTTCAGACCACAGCCCACTGACACAGAAGGCAGTGGAGGGAAGAAGGCCCTCGTCCTGGCTGGGAGAACTGAGCCACAAGCCGCCGCACATCAAGCAGGGCTCCACTCACCTGATCTGCCGGAGCACATCCACTTTCACCCTCTTGTATCCGCCGTAGTCCACATAGCGAATCTCCACCTCATTGGTCTCCTCGTAAGAGGCCACCACCTGGGCTCGCCACCAGGCCCCATCCGCACCAGGGGCTGCGCAGATGACCGTGACTGCAGGGCAGGGAGAGGAGCATGTGGACACCCTGAGCCCAGAGCCAGGCACCGAGGGCCACCCTGGTCCCCACTACTCACCTCCCCACATTACTTCTTAGAGGCCTGTACCTCCAAGTGCAGGGAGGGACAGGAACGCGAGAGTCCCCAACAAGGGTCCCCTCCTCAGAGACCAAGGTGAGTCAAGGGAAGAGCCTGGGTGTGAGAAATTCAGTCTAGCATGTATGACACCCCAACACTCCATACCCAAAAGCATTCGATCTAGACCCATCACCCCGAAACCTCTTGAGGCCTGAGATGCACACGCGAACCGAGGTAGACCAAGCAAAACACAGTGTGCGCACAGCTGGGGCAAGGTCTGCCTTCCTTTCTTAAACCATGGAAGATGAGGGAACCTCCAAGCCCAGCAGATATTGGGGCCCTGGCACCTGGGGTCTGCTCCAGCCCATGACCACTAATAGAGACGGGGGGCACCCCCTGGCCAGCTGCCCTCCCCCATCATCTTGCCTTTGCTTTAGGAGGAGCAGAAAGCACCCAGGCAGCCAGGGAGGCTGTGCTCCAAAGGGCCACCAAATCCACCTTGGGGCAGCAGGGACCAATGAAACCATGGGGTTAGGACAGGGGCCTACAATGAATCCCTTAAAGAGAGCCCCTGGTGCAGCCAGCTCTAACTGTTCCGTCTCTGCTGATAGGTTAGAGAATCTGATGAAAACTATATCTGTATTCCTCCAAAAGAAGTAACAAATTGGATGTTCTAATAGGGATCAAAGCAACAAAGGCAACAGTGACAAAAGTCAGTGTGGATCCCAGCTCCTGCTCAGTGATACCACAGCAGACTCATTTCAGAGGTGGTTTCCTCACCTGTCACATGGAGATAGCTAATCCAATGCGTGGGTTTGTTGGGCTTAAGAACTTTATCATAGCCAGTGTACACCTGAAATGCTGTAAATGACACACACGGTCTCCAACCTGCTTCCTACTTAAGTCCCATCAAGGACTCCAAGAGGGCTCCCTCCCTGCTGAGTCAAGACCAGACAACCCCCAGCCTGGCCAGAGCCAGAAGTCCCCAGCATAGTGCTTACTCTCCACCGGGGTGGGCAAGGTGGGGATTCCAGGCTGAGAGTAGCAGAGATACATCTGCTGGTCCAGGCTGCGCAGTGCGTGGAAGGTGGGATGAGTGTGCTGCTGCACAAACAGGTGCCCGGCATTGACCTGGTTGACCACAATCACCTCCACCGTGATGCCATCAGGCAGCATGAGCTGCAGAGGGGAAGAGGCAGCAGATATTGCATCAGTCCTTCTTTTGAGCTAGATCCTGAGACCCCAGTGCAACCTCTGACCTGGTTGGTACATCTCTGAAAGGGGCACACAACTCAAAACAACAGGGCACCCAAAGATAGAGGTTCAAGAACTTCAGCTGTAACGGCTGTTGTCCTGCAGTACCAAAGGCTGCCATCAGAGGCAGCCTCGCCTTGGGGCAGGAAGACTCCAGAGCCTGGCCAGCAGGATGCGGATGCAGGCAGGGTCTACCCCTTGGGATAACATCCTCACTCCCTCCCATCTCTTCTGGTGAGGCCACAAGCCAGCCTGCAGGCTGGCTAGCCAACTCCTGGCCCTGCAGCTGGCTGACCCCAGCTACGGTTTGCCAGTGCCTGCTCGGCATTCTCAGCAGCAAGCAGCAGTCTGCAGTCTGTTGCCAAGGTCTGCCAGAGTCTGCATCCTGTTTGTTCTGTGGTTTCCCCATTCCCCCAGGTCCTGTTCTCCTCCCTCCACACACTTCTAATTCATTCCCACTGTGGGTGTTGGCCTGTGGCTGTGCTCAGCACCAGGCCCCAGCACAAGCCAATGTGTCTCTACAAGGCATCCCCAGGCACTGGTTTTCCCGATGCCAAGCGACATCCAGCAAGTAGTTTCTGGGCCCCACTGTGTCTTCTACCTTTAAGCCCAGTGGCCCCAGAAAGAAGAGCTTCCTTGGCCGCTGGCCATTGTGTGCCTACCCCAGCCCTGCTGGCCGGAAGCACTGGGAGCTCCCCCAACTCCCACGGGGCCAAGCAGAATGCAACAGGAGAGAATCGGCCACACATACCACCGCGTTATTTAAGAAAGTCTATTCCCCAGTAAGAGTGAGTAAGAGCAACAGAGACACAAAGACAGCCGAGGCAGTGCTGGGGTAGTGAAGGGAACGGAGTCCTTCCCTAATCCGGATCAACTACAAGTAAGGAAAGGAAGGACCCACCCAAGCCTTCCAGGCCTCTGGGTTAGGATGTGGGTGTGTCCACATCCACGTGGGCTTCTAAAAGCTGCTACGTCCAGGATCACCTGGAAATCTGCTGAAGGGAAATGCCTAGAAAACACAAAGCATCCAGGTGGCAGAACTAGGAGTACACTAGTCCTCCCATGCAGGCTGTAGGGGCTGGCACTTCCCCCTTGCCGAGACTTGGCTAGAGCAGTGGAGGTCCGAGGTGAGCGGGCACAGGCCACAATGAGGGTGTGGGCTTCTTGGCTCACAGTCTAGGAGCTTCTCATGTGGGACAGGTCTAGGGAAGAGCACGCTTACCCAGGACGTCATCGGTAGGGAAGGAAGCGCCAATGAAGGCAACGGAGGAGCGTAGATATTGGTAAGGTTCAGTTCTTTAAACTTCTTCCCAATCAAGTTCAGAGCTTTATCTACATGATGCTGAGAGCCTAAAGGGGATGCAGATAGGATATACAATCCCAGAGGGTAAGAGAAAAGTCACAGCAAACACAAACTCACCCAAAACCCCTCACTCCACAGGACTCTTCCTGAAGTTCAAGAGCATCTTTAAGATGCAAAATGCTAAGCTTTGCTTTACCAATAAAGTCGTGTAAACCTGTTCATCTTTTTAAGTGATATCTCTGCCATTCTGATTTGTGCTGGGAGATGGGTGGCTGGCAGATGGGAAAAGGCCCAGTCCTCTTCAACCACAGAGCCTGTCTGCCCTTTGCAGGAGCCTGCGTAGGATGCCAGGCACCACTCTCCCAGGACCCAGGACCCAGGACCCAGGCCCTGACCATCCAAGTGCTTAGGACTCTTCCGGCCAGAGGTCTGGTGGGGTGGGACCCAAGTCCCCTTTGAGTCCCTTTGACGGCTAATGGAAAGATACCAGACACTCCTGCTGCCTGGGATGAGGAGCAGTTTCTGCTCAGAGATAAGACTCCAAAAGATTAGCAACTGGTCCTCAAATGCTTCCCTTTACTTGCATTTCGAGTAAGAAAATTAGAACACAGGTAGCAGCTGCCACTGACCTTCTATGTGGCAGATCTGGATGTTCTGGGTGTAAGGCAGGGTTGAGATGTAGATCTTGGCACCAGAGGTCTGCTTCAGGAAACTCACGTACCGCCCCTGCTTGCCAATTAGCCGGCCAACTAAGTGCTTCCAGGGAGGGAGGGAGAGAGAGAGAGATGACAGGGTTAACAGGAAACCAATCCACTATGTCCAGAACACCTGCTTTTGTTTTACACAAAGTCTTACTAACTCTTACTTTGTTGTCATGTATTTGCCAATACCGTTCTAAGTACTTAAATTTATTATACCACCTGTGAAGCAGATAAGCTTTTTTTTTTCTTTTTGAGACAGGTCTCACTATGTACTCAGGGTGGCCCTCAAACTTACAATCCTGCTGTCTCAGCCTCCTGAGTCCTGGGATTATAGGCATGCACCATCACATTCAGCAAAGCAGATAATTTTATCACTGTTTTCACAGATGAGGAAACAAGTCAAGAAAGGCTAAGGAATCCAGCCAAGATCATAAGCCACAAGTTGAACGAGGCTCATTTCAAGGCTGTGGCCCAGACCCAGAAAGGAAAGGCACCATCCCCTCCACCACGTACACAACCTGTGAGCACTTTCCAGCAGAAGGGCTCACTACCAATTTCCACCCCTCTGTGCCTCCAAGTCTACTCAAGTCACAGGAAAAGGGTTCAGTTTGAAAATGAAGGCCAAGCCAGGTGTGGTGGCACATGCCTATAATCTCAGCCCTTGGGAAGCTGAGGCAGCAAGAATGCTATGAATCCAGGCCAACCTGGGCTACAAAGTGCACTTAAGACCAGCCTCAACAACATAGTGATATGTCTAAAATCAAAACCAAGAGCCAGGCGTGGTGGCACATGCCTATAATCCCAGCACTTGGGAGGCACCCTCCCAAGGAAGATGCTTGCGAGTTCAAGGCCAGCCTCAACTGCATAGTTCAGTTGCTCTCAAAAAGACCAAAAAATAAAAAATTTTTAAAAATAAAAATAAAACAAGACAAAGAAATGAAAGCCAAAGAAGCCTTGAGTTTCTGTTTCCAATGGTCAGTGGCTGGAGCCACCAGAGCACAAGGCGCACAGAGTGCCCAGTGACACAGAGTTCAAGGCGGACAGAAGCCGAACTCGGCCAGGATGTAGACGAGCTCTGAAACATTCCCAAATGACCCAGGCCAGCAGGGTACGAGGGACCCAGTCCCCCTTACCCAGCCTGCCTTGCTGTGCCCTCTGTCACCACGGAGGTCACTGGGGAGGAAACCACAGCAGGAGCCAGCAACCGAGGGGTAATGCAGTCCTCCTGACCCACAGTTTGGACAGAGGCAGGGCTCCCGCCTCAGCATGGAGGCCAGTGCCCTGGGAAGGCAGTCTGCCAACCGCATCCGAGCCCCAGAGACGAACCCAAAGATGAGGTTAATAAGTTGTTAAGGCTGGACACCACTGAAGCACTGAGGAACTGGGACTGGTGAAGCAAAGTGACATTCACAAGATAAATAATGCACGTAAAGTTACGTTTTCAAAGGATATCGCCGGGAAATGACATTAACTATTTAGAAGTATTAATTAAAGCAACATAATCTAAGTTTTGTTTAAAAACCAGAAGGTATGAGGAAGAAATAAAAGTCACAGGCACAGTCACCCTCAGGGGTAGGATTAGAGTGGGTTTTAATTTTCTTCCACATTTCTATTTTTTCAAGTCCTCTACAGATGGGTGCACGGTCTGCTCAATGCCAAAATACACTTTACACTGGAGAGCTAGAGCAGGGCACAGGGAAGGAGTCTGGGTGCCCTGTGCAGGTTTTGCTAGCCTTTGCCAATAGACCTGAGCCCAGCACACACAGGGGTGCAGGGCATGGAGCTAAGATGCCCAAGGATGGCTGGGGGATTCCCCCAATGAGCCCTGGCAAAGCCAAGCACTCCCTTCCCTACAGCACTGACTCACATGGGGCCTTTTCTAGTCCATTGGCCTCCTGGTCCTTGCCCCACCCACCACTAAGGGAGAGGGACCCCTGGGGACCACTGTACCTTTGGCACCTCGATCTCCCAGATGATGAGGTCGACCTTCTTGGGGTTGGAACTGGCCTGGGTGCTCTGGAGGTTGTCAGTCTTCCTAGGACCGCAGCAGCTCTCTGAGTCCATGCTGTTCCCGTCAGAACCTGCAAGGAGGCAGTGCACACACAGACCCTGGCTCAGAGGCGGCGGTGTCCGAGGCACCAACCTCCCCAGCCTGGCAGGTAGGACTGTGAACTCTGTCTGAGGCTTAGGAAAGTCCCAGTAGAAGGAGGCCTGGGAGATCGATACACCTAATTTTAGCCTGACATAGGCCCACTTGCTTACTTGGCAGCCGCGCCCAGCCACAGCTGCTGGAACAAGCACAAGTGGTGAACTGGGAAGGAGCAGACTCTGCGCCCGGGGAGTGAAGGCCATGGGGCGTGAGGGGGCAGCCTACAAGTCCACATGCCCCCGGACCTGACCCCGTCGTGTCCCAACCACCTCACCACCCTTCCAAGTGTCCCTGCCCCTCAGACAGAGGTCTCCTGATCCCAAGGCCCTGGGCCTGGGGCCCAGGCTCCAACCAGCGGCCTTCAGCCAAGCCAAGCGAGACAGTCTCCTCACTGGCTCTCCCATGGGCTCTGCTGTCATCCCTGATCGCAGCCCACTCACCTCTGCCACAGGAGGACAACACAAGGTGGCCTTTCTTGCTGCTACTTAGTTAGGCCTGGTGGGAAACTCTGAATACCTTTTGGGGGCTCATAACACTGAACTAAAGTTCATTCTGCAGAGCCAATGGGAAGTGGGACCTGCCCAAGCGACCATCGCAGACAAGTCGGTCCAGCACAACCCAGAAGTGGCTTTGGTTTAAATACGGACAACTCAATCACCAGGAACACATCACTCAGAGAATCTAATTATTTACTACCTGTTTTCCCCAGACCTCTGCATAATCTTTTGCCACCCCACCCACAGGCTGTCTGCATGCGAAGGACTCCAGCTTACAGAGATCCTGCTCTCAGTTAAGAAAGAGTCACCTTCACAGTGACCTCTGTCCTCCACACCAGGGGCTCAGGACAGGCTTCTCGTGGGGAAAACGACCTTTCCGACTGAGACTGTGCTTTCAGGATACTGAAAGCCAAACAGCTGACAGGGGCTCTGCTCGTGCCCAACGAAAGTGAAGTGGCTAATCACTACCCCAACGACACCCAGGGGCAGCTCAGAACCACACAGGCGTGTATTCACAGGCCAGCTTCCAGCTCCCCTAGTCTGGCAGCTCCCACACCCCCACTTGAACGCCCTCACCACAGAGCAGGGAGACCTGAGAGCACTGCCTGGTGCTCGGCGCCCACTGAGCGCCAACAGACGGCGTCACGAGGCTTCTAGTGGTGGGGACGTCTCCAGACTCCAGGCCCTGCCCAGGGCTCAGTTACAGCCTCCCGCACTGCAAGGGTAAGCTCTGAAGCCCTCTGTGCATCTCAGGAGCAACTGCAATCAACCTAGAGTTGGGAATCACAAAGCTGAGGGACTCATTTATTAAGCGGAAGAAGGAAAAAACCTCTCTTTAAGAAGCAGTTTTTAAAATATTTTAACAGCCTTGACATTAAAGTACCTTGTGGTATCTGGCCTTCCAAAATTCTGACTGGCAACGTTTTTTTTCTTCTAGAGGAACGTAAACAATAGTAGCCTTAACAGCACCTTGGACTGACTACGGGCAGCATATGGTACACACCAGATGTGGCTTAAAGTGGTAAAACAGCCGAGAAAGATCCCCACACTTCCAGGATGGAGCGGAAATGGTAGCATCTTCTGGGAAATGACTGGAAATACCCCGGGGGAGCTGCAAAAGTAGGGTCAGGAGCTGCTGACCTGTAAGTTAGCGGTCTGAACTGTCTACGCTGGGGTCAGCACTCGAAAAACCCAGTGGACACTTCATTACCAAGTGCCCCTCTTCCCCGGGGTGGAACTGCAGCTGCACAGAAAAAAAATGGCTGAGGCTCTGTAGAGGAGGAGGTGACAGCAACAACGCTGGAAAGCTCGAGCCTCCCCCAAGTCCTCGGAGCTGTGGCGGTTCTCGGGACACTTACCTGTAAGAGCTTCTGGAGAAGGAGAGCAGGTGAAGACATGGAACAAGCACATGATTAAAAGGAGTCAGCAGCTGAGAAACACACACCCGCACCTGGCACTCGGGAGTATGCTGAGGCCTGTTAAAACCCCGCGAGGTGTCAGTGTTCCAAAGAGAAGAGCACACTAAGTAACTGGTGGTCCCCACGTTCGGCTGCCGCCTTCTGAAGGGGTGGGGAGGCTCCCTGGCTGGCAAAGCCAGTGACAGCGCCCGTGGCTAGGGTCACAGGGCAGCCTGATGTCTCCAGCTGGGCCACAGTGAAGGAACAGCGTCATTGTGCTGCAGAGGAAGAGGCAGGCCAGCGGCTCTCCCCTAACAAACACAGGGAGACCTCCCCGACCCTCGAGTTAGCGCCCCAGATCCTCCTACCTCCCGAGTGGTCTGCTTCCGCATCCACGCTCCATCCATCCTCAGTCCCCACGTCTGACAACTCCCCCTTCAGCACCCCATTGCTGAAGGGCTCAGTACTGTCTGGCAGCGGTGGGGTCATGGCCTTGTCCCTGAGGCTCGAGTTGGTCTCTGGGCAAGAGTCTTCGAGCCCTGACATGCTGACAGAATCTGAGCACTGCCCCGAGGAGGCCACTGAAGAGACACTCTGGCTCTTGTCCGACATGCAGGGGACACAGGTGGCCTCTTCCACCGGGCTGCTGGCCTTGTCCAGCGACTCTCTGACAGGGGTGTCTGGTGGTGGGCAGGGGGCCAGGGAGATGGGGTATGCGGAGTTCTTTGGCTTCCTGTCCTTGGTGGGGCTGGACAGCGGGCTGCTCAGGCAGCTCACGTAGGTCTTTGGTGGGGGCAGGTCTTCTGCTGGCAGGCCTGGGGAGGGGAGGGCAGTGTCCAGTGGGCTGGCAGCTGTCCCTCCCAGGGCCAGAGGGGGCTCCACAGTGTCTCGCCCCAGGACAGTTTCCTGGCTGACTGGGGCACTGTTCTCCTCCTCTTCCTGCCCGTGTGGCTGACTGGCCGCAGCCTGGCTCGCGGTGGCCAGGACCTCTTCAGTGGCTCCCAAGATCACCTGGGAGATGATCTGGAAGGCAGCCTGTTCAAGCTTCTGGTTTTCATCCACGGCCTCCTCTTTGCCCCGTTCTCCTACTGGATCTTTATCCCTGGCTTTGCCCCCTGTGGCCTGGGGTCTCCGGGTTTTCTCCTCCTCCACCAGCTCTGTGGCAGCCGATTCCATGACACTACGTAACAGCTTCCCACCTGTGTGCTCTTCTTTTGGTAGGGCCCCGACTGGCCCGACCACCAGGGGCAGCCCTCCACTCCCCTTTTCTTCCCTGCCTCCTGAGGAGGCCAGGCTGACAGCCTTGCCATTCTCGGGGCCCAAGATACGCCCCTGGGGCAGCAGACCCTCTTCAAGCAGGGTCTCCCCCCGTACTGCATCGCCGGTCCCCTCGGCCCCACCCATCTCTCTTTCTCTTGCCTTCTCCCCAGGGCCACGCTTCTCTGTGGCAGGCACCCTGCCGAGGGCGGGCTCTTGCTTACATACTTCTACCGCTTCATGGGGGAATAGTACATCCTTTGGGAATGCGAGAGGACACCCCAGAGGGGCAGATTTGGCCTCATCACCCATCACTGCTAGTTCCACCTTTGTGCTGTTGTCTTTGTGCATTCCCAGTTGGGACCTCATGTCGGTGGTGCTAGGCAGGCTGCCCGAGGACTCTGACCTGCGGTGGGGCAGGTGCATCCGTAGCAAGGCTGGGGGCTCCACTGAAGGCTTGCTTGGAGCAGACTCTTCCTGTCCTGGTGGCTGGGTGACACTGGGGGGCATGGACACAACTGTGGGACAAGCCTCTTCCTTGGGAAGTGCTTCCTTGGTGGCAGTGCTGGCCCCTAGTGCCACAGCACTGGACTCTGCCTGCTCTTCGTTGCTGCTGACCTGCTGTTTTTTACGAGAGAAAAACCACCACCAGCCGAGGAGCGCCAGCATTCCAGGCAACGCCAAGGGGAAGAGTGAACGGAACTGGACTGCCATCCTGGAGGCGTGGAACAGTTATGCCTGGGGAGAGCAGGGGAGAGGGAGAGACGGGAGTTACGAGAGCCAGGGTAAGAAGGAACACGGTGAGTTACGCCTTGACTCAGGTTCAAATGCTTCAGCGCTCTCTAGGCTGTTCTAACCTTCAGCAGAGGATGGGGACCCCAGTCCAGAGCTCTGCTTCTCAAACTACAGTCCACAACCAGAAGCCCTGAGTACCCCTCGGCCCCACCCCACACCTATTGAATCAGAGCTGCATTTTAACAAGTCCCCAGGGGAGTCAAACACACTACAATTAGAAGAAATACTAGGAGATATAATCTGCCTCTAAAGGGATGAGGGCACAGAGAATACTGGGGACAACGTCACCTGCAGGAAGTTCCCTCTGTCTTCAAGATGAGCCCCCTTGCTAACCCGTGAGATGAAGCGACGAGCCTGGGAAGTACAGAGCAGGGCGCAGCAATGGCCAGGGCTCTGGTGACTATCTCCACCTCTGGACGGAAAGCTTCAGGGATGCTGCCTGGTCACTCCAGATTCAAGCACTAACTGTTACATGCTCTCCCCACGTCACTTAACTCTCTCAACCACCTGGTTTGCAATGTATTACTATTTTAAAGGTTAAAATAACTCAAAATCAGCCGGGCATGGTGCTCATGCCTGTAATCCCAGCACTTGAGAGGCTGAGGCAGGACGATCGCTGTGAGTTCAAGGTCAGCATCACCTACAAAGTGAGTTCAAGGCCAGCCTGAAGTGCATGGGAAACGCTGTCTCAAAAACAAAGGAAAAAAAAAAAAAAAAAAAAAAAAGACAAAAATAAATAATTAAATTTTAAAAAAATAAAGTAACTCAAAATCAAGCAGAGCGTGGTGGCGTACACCTATAATCCCAGCATTCTGGGAGGCTGAGACAGAAGGATCTCAAGTTTGAGCCCACCCTGTGAAACTTAGTACCTTAGTGAGACCTTGTTTCTAAATAAACAAATAAAATTCAAAAAATAGGGGCTGGGGATTTAGCTCAGTGGCAAAGCGCCTGCCTGGCAAGTGCAAGGTCGTGAGTTCGGTTCCCGGTACCGGAGAAAAACCAAAAAAATAAAAAATAAAAAAATTCAAAAAATAAAAAATAAAAAATAAAAATGGGCTGGGAATATAGCTCAATGCAAAGGCCCTGGGTTCAATCAACCTGGGAGGGTGCTAGGGTGGGAGAGAGACACAAGGTCATCAGACAAATGAAAACCCAGCTTCTATGCCACATTAAATCTGGAACTAGTAAGTAGATCTATAGGGCAAGATGCACTATATCGGCCAAGAAAAGAGCAAGATCACACTACCTTTTGGACAGCTTTAGTAATGGCTCTTAAAACATTATGAGCATATACTGTGGCCCACAAATCCTATACCTGTAATCTTAAAAAGCAGACCTCTGTACAGCCAGAGGGAAGAATATCTAAAATGGAATTGGAATTAACCTTTCAGGGGAATGAATCACTGCTAAATATACAGTGAAGTCTGTGGATGTAACAGTACTAGTGTTGAAGAGTTGGTCTCGTGTATAGACATGGAAAAAGCACCATAACACAGAAAACAAGCTACAGGCCAAGATGTAGGTGATGGTTATGCCCACATAATCCCGTGGGAAAAGGTCACATACCAAGCCATACAGTTTAGAGAGTGAGGGGAAGCTTTGGTGCATCAACTCTGTATCTTATGACCTTGATGAATTCATCTATTAGATCTAGTAAGTTTTTAGTAGTTTCCCTGGGATTTCTTATCTATGGATATGAATAGAGAAACATTTCTGTAACAGTGGTTTTCCAGTGGAAATCCATATTAGCATCACTGGGAAAGAGCACTTAAAAGCCTCAAGTCAAAGCAACATGAAGATCAATTAAATTAAAATCTCTAAGGGTGAGAATCAACACCAGGTTTCTCTTTTTCTTTAAATCCAGGGGACTACAACTTGTGGCCAAGTTTGAGAACCACTGTTCCCCAACATCTCTCACATACCCCAAAATGTAGATTACAGGAGATCTGATTTCTATGTGCCTCACGTTCATCTTCCATATAAAGAGGAAAGACAATCTGAAAGAGGGAAGGAGAATGGTGTGCTCAGAACAGGGCAATGTACTGCTGGGCTCTGACACATATTCTCATCAGGTCAGTAAGTCCAGATTCTGGCCAGAGTTAGTGGCATACACCTTTAACCCCAGTGCTTGAGGGGTGAGGCAGGAGGACAGCTGTGAATTCAAGGCCAGCCTGTGCTACATAGTGAGAGCCTATCTCAAAAAAGCAAAACAGACAACAAAACAAAAAACTAGATTCTGATTCCTTATTAACTAGACAATCCCTTTTCAGCAGGACCTATAGCGATTTCCACAATATTCTAGCAATTCTCTGACTTTAGGAAAAAAGATTAAATGGAATGGGGTAGAGAAAAGGAAAACAAGCCCTGAAAACCACTCCCACAGAGGGCCACACCAAGGTACCAAGGCACCAAGGCCGCAAGACTCAAATCTGTTCTATTCCAGGAAGGGGTCGTTACCCACGACACAAACCTCCTCCCAAACCAGCGGGAGAAGGCCTGAGCTTCAGAACCAAAAGCTGATCCCAAGAGTCCTGCCTCTCCAACAGTCGCTAGGTCACCCCCCACCCTGCCCAGTCCCTCCAAAGCCCAGGCGCTGGCTACAGTAAGGTGGGGCTCAAACATATACTCCAGTCTGGCTTCGGTTCTGTACCCTTGGCGATCTACACCACAGCCCAGCCCAGCCCCCAGCCTGCTATGTATGTGTCCTCCTACTTCGTCTGCTGTCTTTCTGACCGTGCCCAAGCAGAACACCCAGAACCGGCAGCCAGGGTCCACCACAGCATGTGGCCTGCCTGCTGCTCTGCACAAAAAAGAGCCAACACTACCAATCACCCATCCAAGCCTCCCAGCCCAGCTTGCTCCCCAGAGCCTGGGACTCTAAACCCCCAACTTCTCCACCCCTAGTCCCCTACAAACAGTCATCTGTAGCTACTCAACTGAGAAGTTCAACCCAAAAAACACAGCTGCCCTCTGTTGTTATGCCAGGAGGCTGTGCTGGACAAATGCTAACCTCAGACCACCCAACCCACGGAATCTAGAATGATCCACCAGGATTCCCTGTGAACACACTCCCCAGCCTCCACTCCCACTCTGGGCTGCAACCACTGACTAGACCTGCTGCCAAGAAACGAGGAACCAGGAGCCCCGCTTCCTCAAGGTGAGTGGCTCAGGACACACAGCCCTTTCTGTGGGACTGCTTCCTTGCTACCTGAAGATTAGAATTAGACAGCCATCCTCCACCAACACTGGAGGCCCTGGGGTCAGCAGCCACACACCCGAAGGCCTCGGCTGCAACTCATCAGCCTTGCCAGGCATTGGGGTAAGCACACTTGCTGCTAGAAGGCCCTTCAGAGGGGCTCCCAGAGGCAACTTATGCCCCTCCACCAACCCCCACTTCCCACCAGTCAAGAAAACAGCTAGCTCCTTAGTCCCTCACATTCGTCAGTCATCCCAAACAAGAGGACATCTTGGGATGGTTGAGACCTTTTTCACTGATTTATACTGCCTGCTAGGTCTACAGGAGGCGATGCAGAATGCACCCATCTTTCCTGAACGCTCAAGCTGCACATGTGCACCCCTTCAGCCCCGCAAGGTTTTCTGCCATCCTCTTTCCTTCCTTCCCTGGCTGCGGTAGACTCTTATGAGACGTAGTCTTTGTCCAGGTATTCTGTTTTTAAATCTCAACCTCCCTATATTTAAGTGAACTGAACATCATAGGTTCTGCAGCCTTCACCTTCAAGCTAACTGGAGGCTGCCTCTGCAGCTGTCTTCTCCCCAAGCCTGGGAGGCAGGCCAGCCTGTAGTCAGGGGAAAGCTGCCCGCAGGGATGCTGCAGAGCCATGCCCTAGGACTATGGGGGACACTCAGCTATTTTGAATCTGTTGGAATTAAATCGCTGCCTGCTTATTTTTAGCAGGTCCATTTCCCCGGGAATAGATGCACACTGGCTCACTGCCAAGCAGTCACAAAGCGCTGAAGCCAGGCACGTGCTTCAGCCACAAGGCCTTCGCATTCATCTGTGTGCGCCAGGCTCTAAACGGAACCCTCCTTTCTCTGGAGAAGTAGCTGAGCTTCTCAGAATGGCTCTTGGAGAAGCTGTGGCCTCACTCCCAACCCTGCTTATGGACCAGTAACTGCAGCCTAGAGCTTTCGGCTAAACAAGAAAACAAATTCCTGGGAATGGTACAAAAAAGTGCTGGTCCCAGTGACTAAGCCAATTTGGCTGCAGTTACTGTGAAAAGGAGCTACATGTAATTGAAGGGAAAGTCAATCACAAAAACAACAGCTTAGGAGCCAAGTGCACAAGTCACTTTGGGTTTGGGCCCACTCAGCGCAGCCACATCCACTTGATGCTCTGATTGAACCGTGCACCTCCACAGGAATCCCAACATTTCTTCCATTACTCCAGTGTCCTGCTGCCAGCGCCCTCCTGGGCTGTTTACCAGGCAGGCACCTGCCCAAGACACCCCACCTTCAGAGTGCAGCACAGTGAGCTCTTGCTGAGAGCTCTTCCCCTTGACCAGGTCTTGCCGGGGTAGGGAATCTGAACTGACAGACGAGGTGGTTGCCCCCAGCATTCAGAGACGGTGCACTTTAGGTTGAGACTTCCTCCACTTGGTGGGAGCACAGCCTGGGAAGATCACACATTCAGAGTTCCCTGGTAGACAGCTGCAAGAGTACCTCTTGATTTGTACTACAAAGGTTTTCTCGTTCCTCATCAGGTTAAGTGGCTCATCTGGCTCACACTCAAATCTATATGAGCTGCTACAAGAAGCTCTGTCACCAAAAGCTCACAATTCAGAAGCAAACTCAACCTCTCACTCACACTCATCCTCACAGACCCTTTGCCCCACAAGCAGCCAAGCCAAGAAGTAGACAATGGGAGCCCAGAAAGATCTCCCTCAGAGGGCCAGGGTGTCCTCAAGTTGCGATGAGTGGGGGAGCGGTGGGACACAAATGACGGTAGCAGTTCCTCTGCAGGTTGGAGGTGCAACAGTCACAGGGCAGAGCTGGAGCAAGTCCTAGGGCGAGAAGCTAACGAGCAGGTAGGGGCCAGACAAAGGCAGCATGACCTTTACAGTCAGGGCGATGAGAACAGTTGCAACATGGTCAAAATAGAGCAGGTCACCAGAGGCAACGGCTGGGCGAGCCCCATGTGGCGATTGCTATCCAAGATTGGCAGGCGCTTAGAAACAGGGGGTTATTGAGCATGTGAAATGTGACAAGTGTGACTGAGGAACTAAATTTCAAATTTTACTGAAAGTTAATTTAAACAGCCACATGCAGCTGATGGCTACCTACCAAACAGTACAGTTCTACGTGGTGTTCCCAGAAGACCCTGAGAAACATGAGGGCTGGCCAGAGGCTGTGAGGCCAGCACCTACCTTGCTGGCAGCGTGTGGTCCGGCTTCTGAGGTGGGGGCGATGGTGGCCTGGATCACTCTCCCACAGCAGCATGGCTGGGGCCCAGGTTCAGAGTGCTGGAGCCATGCCTCTGGCGGGCTGGTCTTGGCCCAACCCCGGTGTTCCTTGCATCTTGGGGGCCTGAGAGAGCTGAGTCATGAGGGCACCCGCACCATTCCATTAGCTCACAGAGGGGGTGTGAGGCTCTGTCCAGGCTGTCCCCACACCCTCCATTGTGATGGCGCCACAGATAGCAGGTGAGCCGGTATGGCCAGACCAACATGCACTGGGGCAGCTAGATGCTCCCGGGCGCATCAGCAGTCAGGATGGTCATGGAACATGTTCCTAGCCCGCATCACAGGAGGGCCAAGGTTCAACCAATACCTGCTCAGCAAAGTCTTCTCTGGTTAAAACAGTATCCCACAGTCCAGTACCAAGAGATCCAGGTAAGGAGAGCCGGAAGCCAAAAATCCCTCTCTGCCTGACAGTCTCTTCCTCATCCAGTCCAAATAGAAGTTCAACTCATTCCTGGCGTGGAAAACTTGGTAACAAAGGGAGCACACAAGGGTGGAAAATCAGCCTCTCTCCTATGCTCACCAACCCAATGCGGGTCCAGCCCCACTCCTCTTTGAGTGACAGGGGTGGGGGGAAAGATCACCCACTGCTCTCACCAAGGCCTTCCCAATTACCTCATCAGGGGCTAGGGATATAATTTTAGAAAACCGTGAAGGTGAAATATTTATATGCTCTGAAAAGAAACCAGGGGTTGAAGGAAGGATAGGGGAATAGGGGAAAAAAAAGAATGAAATTATATCATGTACAGGTACAAATTCCCTATAATGAATGTGATCACTATGTATACCTAAAATGTACCAATAAACTTATTAAAAAAAAAAAAGAAAGAAAAGAAAACTATTAATACTGTGTCCAGCCCACCCTACCCCTTATCTTGGGCTCTTAGAGACCACTGGGCTTTATAAGTGAATACCGTCAGGTTCCTGAGGGTGGTTACAAAGGTGCAGAAATGTATACCTGGGTTTATGAAGTTCCTGCCTACGACCACAGAATATGCCATACAGGACCGCCCAAAAGGCCTGAGCAGAGATCTGACAGCAAGTGTGTTTAGAAGCCCATAAAGATGACCTATGCCCTCAGAAGAAACCAGATGATGCACAGCAAAACACTCTTCCAGCCACTACCTCCAGTAGGCAGAGAGAAGACCCCAATTTTCCAAAGAATGGACTTATGAGCAACTTAGCAACCACATAAAGGGATAAGAGGGCAATTTCTATCAATAAATACTTATTGGCACCTGCAGAGTACAACACAATATAACAGAAATGAAAAAGACAAGTCACTATCCTTAAAACACTTTCAATCTTTCCATTTCTTTGGGGACAAAAACAATAACCTCATCTCCAGTGAGCTGGTTATGCCAGCATCTGATCAGATGAAAGTCTGGTCTAAGAGACAGGTAAGTGTCCAGCTGGCAGTGTGGACCATCTATGAAACAGGTACCAGCTTTCTAAGAGTAAGATGTTCCAAAGTTGGGGGAGGGGTGTAAAGGACACTAGCCTGAATATTAGCATTATGAGAGCCAAGGAGGGTTGGAGGTTGCCCTATCTAGCATGTAGACTTTCAATCAATACAAATTTTCACCACCTCCTGGTGGCCAGATCCAGGTCCCCTCTTGTCTATTTATTACCTCCAGAAAGTAATGCTAGCTTCTTTCCTGGTGGAAGGGATCTACCAAGCTAGTTGTATTTTCCCACTTTCCACCAATCAAGTGTTCAGCCACACATACTCCCATCCCATGCAACCTTCAAAGGTGTCTGCCCTTCTGCACACATCACCTTGCCTCTTGTTGGATACCCAGCCATGTACATACATTTTCTTAGAAAACTACTGGAGGATGTGGTCCACCAAGACAAGACAGTAAACCAAGAAATGAAGAAAGGAGAAAGATGCTGGATCCAAGAAGGAACACAAGGTGAGAAATTCCCAGGAGGAAGGGCAGACAGTGCCAGGGGGAAGAGATGCTTCCCAAGAACAGTATGGCTCTATTAAGAGCACCTGGTATGTTTAAACACAGTAAGAGAAGCTTTCCACCAATGGCATGGGTTCTAAGCAAGGACTGAGAGGTTCAGGGGAGGGCAGAAGAACTGGTGAGATACAGAAAAAAGAAATGCCAGGTGTGGTGATGCACGCCTGTAACCTCAGCACTCGGGAGACTGAGGCAGGAGGACTGCCAGGAGTTCAAAGGCCCACCTGGGGTACACAGTGAGTTCAGGGCCAGCCTGGACTATATATCAAGACCCTGCCTATTTAAAAAAAAAAAAAAAAAAAAAAAAAGACAGACCAGGGTACTAACTAGGACATGAGAAAAGAAACACGGAAAACCAAGAACTCTCCACTGCCGTAAGCAATGTTTGTACTGTAATAATGTATACCCTGAATTGCTACTTGACCTCATCTTGGGAGGATGAGGGAAGAAAGCAGTGCAGGAATGAACTAAGTCCTTATCTCTCACAGTAGGGAGAAAAAAAATTAGCAAATACCTTTTTAAAAGAAAGCTGCATGTGAGGCACATGCCTGTAATACCAACACTAGGGAGGCTGAAGTAGGAGGAGTTCAAGACCAGCCTGGGCTACATAGTGAGCTCAAGGCCAGCCAGGAATACATAGTGAGACCCTGTCTCAAAAACCAAAATAAATAAATAAATAAATTTTTAAAATATTTTTTAAAGAAAAAGTATGCTATGAAGAAACAGTGGTAAAAAGAAATACTTAAAAAAAAAGAAACAGCGGTAAAAAAATAAAAAATAAAAAAAAGGAAACAGTGGAAAGCGGCAATGACAGCAGATGAAGAATTAAAGGTAGCTACCACTGGAAGAAAACAGTAGACAGGCAGGTACACACAGGGCAAAGAATATTCTTGAAGCTCAAACCCAGGGCTTTAGGGGGCTGGGGATTTAGCTCAGCGGCACAGTGCCTGCCTGGCAAGCTCGAGGTTGTGAGTTCAATTTCCGGGAGCGGAGGGGGAAACCCAGGGCTTTGCATATGCTAGGCAAATACTCTACCACCAAGCTACACCTCCAGCAAAGGACTGTCCTTTCAAACCTTGTAGATAGTCAAAAAGTTAAATACACTGGGTGTGGTGGTGGAAGGCTGAGGCAGCAGGATCACTATTGACTTGTGAGACCTTGTTTCAAAATACATAATTTTTTAAAGGGCTGAGGACACAGCTCAGTGTAAAGACTCTGGGTTCAATCCTCAGTACTGTAAACACACACACACACAGTCAACTCTTTTGGCAGGCAACACTAACACAAAGTTCATTCTTAAGCTATATACAAGTAACAATGGGTGCTGTTACCACACAGCTTTGTGTTTCATATGAACCATAATAAATATCTATTAGTGCCAACTCATCTAAATACAAACTTTTAAGGGGCTGGGGATTTAGCTCAGCAGCACAGTGCTTGCCTGGCAAGCGTGAGGTCGTGAGTTCAATTCCCGGTACCGGAAAAAAAGCAAAAATAAATAAATAAATAAATAAATAAATACAAACTTTTAATGTTTTCTTAATCCCACAATAGGTGATATCAAATTTGCTTCAGATACCCCTAACCTGCCCTGCTGGCAGAAAGGTAATACTCAAGAAAAGAACATGCTTCCTGACACATCCTTCAGGAACCACGAGAATGGTCTCCCCACCTGACTGGGGGCTAACCAGCATCAGAGAGCAGGATCCCCCAGGGCCAGCCATTTAATAAAGATTTAAATACCCCCTGTGAACAGGTTCCACAGGCTACGCAGGGAAAGAGCTCTCAGGAAGCGAAGGTGGAGGTGGGGCCTCAAATTTCAGATAATAAGATAGTGCAGGGTAGATTCAGCAACTCAATGCAATACACCTGTGACCTCTCTCAGGGAGCTGAGAGCAAGCCCCAAGCCTGAAGGTGTCCCTTGCACACAATGAATTAATTACAGTCCTGTGCATGTAGGAAGGTAGCAGGGAGGCTGAGAAACGGTTCTCTTCCATGGTTTTTCTGAAAGGCAGGGGGTCTGGGGAAGGGAAAGCTCTAGGCTGAATGGTGAGGGAATGCCTCTCAGGAGTGGCTCCAAGCCGGAACACTGAGAGCTGTGCCAGGAACTGGGGCGAAGCAGGAGGAAGAAGGGGAGAAAATTCCAGGCAGGGAGAACATGTGCCAAAGTCCCAAGGCAGAACAGTCTTGGCTGACTCAAGAGACAGCAAGAAGGAGAGGCCAAGATGGGGTCAGAGCACCGCCGCCAGAGAAACGGCTTTCAAGGGCAATGGGCAGAAGGTAGATCTGGACTTGCAAGACCCGGAAGAACTCAGCTCCTGGGCCTTCCCCTAGAGGGAAAAAGACCAGGGGCTTTCCTCTTAACTCCTGAACAGCTGCTTCCAGACTTCATTCCAGGAAGAAGATGCCCCTCGTTGGGAGCATGACAGGAACGCTGTGTTTGGTAAGCAGGGGCTTGCTTTTTACTTGGAGTTCTCAGCAAATGCACTTGCCAGGAAGCCCTGCGGCCACACGACACATTAGCTCAAAGAACCAACTGCTGGACCTGTACCTCGGTCTCCACCCCACAGCAGAATCTGTTCCAGTAAGGCAGTCCAGCCCCTGGAGGCAGGCACACACAGTCTCTTGCCACTTCATTTGAATCAGACTTTGCAAAAACAGCCTTGCTCTCCAGCCAACATAAACCATAGGCAATAGAGGGCCTTATATGGCTGAAGCTTTCTTAATCAGGAACAGATAGATGGGCTGGAGTTGGCAGCTGCATGTTAGAGGACGGGGGTGGAGAGCATGGGGAACATATAAACTTATTTGTCAAACTCCTTTTTCACCCCTCTTCTGCTTCACTCACTTCCCAGCAAAGAACTACTGGAGGCCACAGCTTTGCTGCCAGCTGTTTGTATTTTGTTTTAAGCCAGATGACACCAGTAATCAGACTGCTAGTTGATCCATACTTTTCATTAGAGTTTTTTGTGTCCACTGAGGGCCTGGGTCCTTAGGCTGGATAACTTCACAGGAAAATGGGGTTACGTGGTTTCCTGAGAAACCAGATGCTGTAACGTGGGGTCTTCACTCCCTAGGCAGCAGTCCTGGCCCCTGGTTCCC